TGTTATACGTTATGTTATAGCTCGACAGAGGCCTAGAACGTTCCACACAACACTACGAGATATTATGATGGCATAATACTCAGTTTAACACAACGAGAAAATTTAGAATATGACGCAATAATAACAACAATCGCCAATTCACAACAAATGAAGTACACAACGTATGATTCGAAAACAGTGACATAAACAAACCTGTGATAAACTATCCCTTCTAAAAATAACTAAATTGCGATATACTTAAATAATGTAAATCATAACACTCTCAGTAAACTTAAACAGTCGTGTATATCTAACAATTTTGCGCTTTGGTCTGCCATCTGGTTACAGTGCCTGTACCAACTGAAGTTTGTAGGCATGCAGATGAAGTCACTTGTGAATGAAACGGAGCGAGAAGGGATGTTAAGTTCTGGCGAAGCACGCCGATGCGATTTTCGTTGTCTATGCTGAAACGATTCGCATACTTATTCGATACGTTCATCACCGACAGAGAGCCTTCCTGCTCCCGGTCGCTGTTTCCAAGAGTTTCTTCATCCACTCCCGGATACTTGATTTCATTGTTGGTTCTTTCCTGTACTGGCGTCTGTAATTACGCTGCATCACACAGTCACTGACTTGGTCTCTGCAAGCCAAATGACACATTGAGCTTTTCCTTGCACGGTAGCCATTTTTCTATTTACCGGAGTGACAAAAATAACAACAATAAAAATTATTTGAGTTGAGCTAAAGAATGTCGGAAACTGCATGGTTGCATTTATTTAGTTATTCAATTATTAAATTTCAAAATGGAAAGCTAATTTGGGGCCACCTTGTATTTCTGTGTTTTAGGTTTATTAGCTTGATAACTTAAAATTATGCGAATGTCTTTATTCCAGTAATTTTATTTATCTTAATAAACATAAATCGATTAGACAATCAATGTAGTTAGAAGACTAAAAACAAAAGTATTTGGTATTTATGACAAAGCTACTAAGGCGCCCCCAGTGGCACAGCGGAGCACAGATAGCCCATTGTGTAGCTTTGTGCTTAATTACAAACAATCAAACAAGCTACTAAGGCTATGTACCGCAGTCCCTAATTTTGAACCACTGAACAGTGGAAAGGCGTCCAATCAGCGGCACTATACCACACACAATCCACGTTAAGGGATTGATTGTCATAACTGAATATTTAACGTGACAATGGATAAACTAAAAAATGTGTGATGAACATGAGTCAAAAAATTTATATAATTTCAAGAAAATAATAGACTAAGTTTACGAGAAGAATAAGTCGTATATATGTTGTATTTTTTCGGAAAACGTTCGAGGATATATATTGTTAGGACAGCGGAAGTCACGTGACGCTGGTAACACGTGATGAGTGTCTAGAAGATTCGCGAAGAGGCTAGTGCATGATACGCGCGCACTTTTATTGTATATAAGCGCGCCAGATAAAGGAGACAGTCATTCGGAACTGGAGTAGCAGATAGAGAGATTGAAGATAGAGACACGGATAGTTGAGTCAAGCGGGCGGTAGGCACCGTAAGTAAAGTGCGTGAATCGTTCGTTGTGAATTATAGCGTGTGTTTAAGTTAATATGACTGTGGAAATTAAGTGTATTGCAAAGTTGAATTGAGAAAGAATAAACTAGTTTTATTTAAGAAAAGACTTGTATCGCTGAAGTTTCTCGGAAAGAATTTCTACGAAAAATTAACAAACGAACACAGACATAACAATATATATATATATATATATATATAATAAAAAATTATAAAAATTGCGGATGATGCAGGGATGGCAATGCCAAAAACTACAGAAACAAGGTGGGGATGAATACACAAAACCATGTAAAAATTCCTACATAAGTAGCCAAATATTTCCAAGAAAAACTTTTATCTACAACTATATGTTGAACTCATTTAACTTATACGAATTCAGGTTTTAATAAAAGCATTTAAACTAAATACTACTATAAAGTCTTACAATGGCTAATTTCCATAAGCTTGTAACATTGACTCGGTGGCAAAGAAGAGTTTGATCTGATTGAGATTTTTAAGATTGTAAAGGGAATTGATAGTGTTGATGCATCATCTATTTTTCATATTTAACGTCGAGAATAGTAGGACTAGAGGACACAACTATAAATTTTGGCAAGGC